ATGCGACTTTAAGTGAAACGATGTTAAGCGAATCCATTTTCCCCATAAGAATTAATGCAAATAGGGGGGATTAGGTTCCAGGGAAAACTTTTTTTTGCCAGACAAAAGGCATTATATAAATTTTAAACAATTTTTAAACAAGCAATTTAATACTACGCTAGGGGGGAGCAGTGTGCACGTGCTGTGTGTTTACAAACATACTGTACATACAGTACTATAGTTGGGAGGTGCCTCTGCCTTACCCTACACAGGCACAGCCCACTGGCACTGGAGATGAGGCAGGCAAGGAGGCCGAAGGTGCTGTAGGCTAGGAGAAGCACGTTGTGCAGCAGTGGCAGCTTCCCCTACTCTGCAAGCACCAGGGGCGGGGGCTCAACCCTCAGCCCGCCCACTCCCTCCCTTCCCCTACGGCCACACCCTTAACCCACCTCTTCTTCCCCCCCTCCTCCCCCTTTACTTCCCAAGCTGCGTCCTCGCTCCTCCCCCCTCCCTTCTAAAGGCTGCAAGCCAGCTGATTGCCTCCGGCAGGAGGCAGGGGAGGGAGGGGGAGCCTGCACGACAAGTCCTCGCTCCTCCCCCCTCTCCCGCCCAGGGCAATCAGCTGGCTTGCGGCATTTAGGGGGCAGGAGGGAGGGGCGATGACTCGGCGCACAGGCTCCCCCCCTCACCCCGCCTCCTGCCCAGGGCAATCAGCTGGCTTGCGGCGTTTGGAAGGCAGGGGAGGGAGGGGGAGCCTGCACACCGAGTCCTCGTTCCTCCCCCCTCCCCTGGAAACGCCGCAAGCCAGCTGATTGCCGCGGGCAGGAGGGGGGAGTAGTGGGGGGTAGGGAGGCTGCCAGCTGTGGAGAAAGCAGGCAGCCAAACAACGTAAGAGTGGAGCATTGCACAACTTTAAATGAGCATGTTCCCTAATTGATCAGCAACGTAACAACGAAACAACGTTAACCAGGACGACTTAAAGTGAGGAGTTACTGTACAAGCTGCAGCAGAAACGGAGATATTTGGGGGGGGGGGGGGGGGAGAAAGAGACACAGACCGACCTGAAAAAGGAAGTTGTGGAGGGGAGTATGGTAGGAGACACACCACAGAGATCTGTATCATTCAGATCTACCAGTATAAAACAAACATAATATACCAGGTTTCTTACCAAGATTTAGATTTTACGCAGATCTAGGTCAAGTTTTGGCTGCTGAGTGGAAGGAGACATTAAACTTGTAACCCTTTTAAACACCTCTTACATCACTGAAAAAAAAACAGACTATGTAGCTTATCAAGGAGAGGCCAAGGGAATCTTCCTGTAGAAACTCATAGATCAGAAAGAGTGCAGTATGTAAATTTCAGAAAAATAGAAAGGCTGACAGCAGGGGCTACATAAAAGACTCCAGAATCTGCAAAATGTTTGATACATTACTGATGATGTGGGTGAAAATACCCCTGCTACAGGAGGTAGGGCTAGCCAGAAAAAAAGGAGAGTTCACATATGATGATGAATAGTGCCAAAAAACTTGACCAGTTCAAGAAAAAAGTGGGAGAGTTTTCTATCAAAGAAATGGGTAATGGCAACACAGAACTGAGGGGAAAGTTAAGTCAAATAGCTCTAAAAATTAAGGCCCTAAATCCTAGTGTTATCTCTGCTCACGGTATAAATCAGAGCGGCAAGATAGCACTGAGATGAAAAAGAGCCTGTAATAAAAACAAGAACCATTTGTAGTCTACTAGAGTAGTAGCCCAAGCAACAAGATCGATCCAGTCTGAAATTACTGTACTGGGAGGAATGTGCATGCTTCCTTAAAAATAGTGCAGTGGATCCATCTTCAGGGAATTCAACAGAGGCTTCCAAGAAATAAAAATAAAAAGACAATACTTATTTTTCTAGATTTCTTTGAAAGTGAAGGTCAAAGAAGAATGAAGAGCACAGAATACATACACAGAAGCCTGCATCCATGACCTTAGCAGTAAGAGTTGGGGGAGGGTGTTTCAATTTTTTAAACCTGTCACGTCAGCAATCTTTTGTCTGTGGCTACTGGTGAACAAAACCAAATTGGCAAGTCTTACTTGATCCAGTGCTGGTGAAAAAGAGATACCTAAGAACACTGAAATTTTTTCATTTAAATAATTATTTGACACAAAGAGAAAGATTTATTTTCACATCTGCTCTATGCATTTAGGCATCTGCACCTAAGTTTTAGAACTAAACACAAGTCAATCAATCGACTTGTAGATCTAATATACTTAATTATTATACATTTCTACACTTCCAGCAGGGGTGGAAAGGAAAGAAAGTAATTGGCAAGAATCCAAGAGATACATTTACACTACTTTTTTATATATATAAAAATAAACATGGACTCCTGAATCTTCAAAACCAAATCCTTTCATTTACAGTCTACATACATTGAAAGTGAGGAGAAAAAGGGTCACAGCAGTCCTTCAACAAGCCAATTCTGAACCTGTTCACTACTAAACTACAGCAATTTTAAAATAATAGTAAATAAAGGAGGAAAGTAAATGTGTTTGCAGTGTGGCTAGAAAGATTTTGCGTGTGGATGTAAATGGTATAGCAGCATTACCCAAAGGATTCAAGTTAACTAATTTTTAAAATTATTTTTTTCATGCAGCCTTCCCTACTCTGACTTCCCTGTTCATTTCAACACCTGTAAAGAAGGAACTAGTAATCCATTGTCCATGGATAACTAATTTTTCCACATTTACTGGCAACTGACCATCAAAACTGTTTAGAGAAAATACAAAGTGGAGTGCTTTTAGAGGCACTCCTACCTTTGCACATTAACTCTCTTTATATAATTTTTTATCACAGAAAATATGCATTGAAAATGTAAACAAAAGGGGATGGTTCTTCTGAAACCCTTAACCACAATTCACAATCTCTGGATTTAAAGCCCATCAAAAGCATGAAATACAGCACAATGTCATAACTTGCTTTACTAATCCATGCATTTTATAACCCATCTAAAATAATGGCTGTCTCCGCTTTGCACAAGATAAACAGACTGGTATTGTGAGGTCTCCCATTACTAAGAATTCATTATTTTTATACATTCTAGTACGGTGGATATAGATATATATATACACACACTTTCACTACTACTTGTGATGCATTTTGTGTTTGTTCACTTAGTGCAAAATTTAGTTATTAGCGTAGTTCAGTGTTAGTTTGCTGATGCGCCACAATATTCTGTATTGCCTATGAAAAGTCAACATTAAATATTCGATACAAGATCTACAAATCAAGTAGCATGCAAATAAGCCAAGTTCCATTTATACAGACAATGGTTCAGAACTTTTATAAACAGATAAAGCAATTTCAATTAACTAAAGGCAAGATTAGTACAGAGTTTTACCCAAAACACACCCTCTCCCTTTTAAGGCACTAAATTTCTCTTAAAATCATTTCTTCTCATACCTCAAAGCATCTAGATTTTTACATAACATATGAAATAATACACAACTAACAGCTTTTATCTATCTACAAGCATGTTTACAAACCAAATTCTCTCAAGATAGACATGCATAACATCCACTGAAGTACCAGACTCATCAAAACTCATAGAATCTTAGAAATTTAGGATTGAAAAGTAGTTCAAGTCCAACCCCTACATGCTGAGGCAAGACCAAGCAAACCTTGAACATCCGTGGCAGGTGTTTGCCAAATGTGTTCTTAAAAACCTACAATGACAGGGATTCCTCAACATCCCTTGGTAATCTATTCCAGTACTTAACTACCCTTACAGTTATTAGGGAAATCCTTCTATGTAACCTAAATATCCCTTGCTGCACATTAACTCTTGTCATACCTTCAGTGGACATAGAGAATAACAGATCACCATCCTTTTTATAACAGCCCTTAACCTATTTGAAGGCTGTTATCAGGTCCCCACTCGGTCTTCTTTTCTCAAGACTGAGCATGCCCAGTTTTTTTTTGTTTTTTTAAAAACACTTTACCTCATAGGTCAGGTTTTCTAAACATTTTATTATTTTCATTGCTCTCCTCTGGACCCTCTCTAATTCCACAATTTTCTTAATACACAACCTTGGAATCCTGTTGGACTTAGCCATTTGGAGTGGATTACTGTAACTCAGTCTACCTGAGAAACAGAAGGAAACTGCAGCTAGTCCAACACGCATCACCCCACTTCATACATGGCACAGACCATAAGAGCATTTTACGTCAGCACTCTGCCATCTGCACTCTCTCTTCATTCACCACCAGATCCAAACTGAGTTACTGGTCCTCATCCTTAAAATATTGAATGGACAAGATCTTTACTCTCTGTGCTGCCGCCTCTCCCTCAATACCACCAGAGATACAAAGGAGCCTTAGCAGACAACACATGGTCACACTATCAGAAGACTGAAGCAGTCTCTTCTCAGCTGTGAGTCGCCTGCTAGGCAACTCTCAGAGGAAAGCAAGAAGAGGAGGGAGGAAGGATAGCTCACTGGTTTTTGACCATTGGCTTGCTAAACCCAGGGTTGCAAGTTCAATCCTTGAGGGGGCCATTTAGGGATCGGGGGGGGGGGGGGAAGGCTGGGAATTAGTCCTGCTTTGAGCAGGGGGTTAGACACTAGATGACCTCCTGAGGTCCCTTCTAACCCTGATATTCTATGAAACCCCCATAAGAGCTCAAGACTTGCCATATTCAGGGTACAGTATAAGATTCACTTCCATGCAAAGACATTTATCAAACAGAGCAGAAGAGAAGCATGGCAACATTATTGTAGGTCTGAGGATTTTTGTCTTACTTTGAACAAACTTGCTATTATCTTGTGATAATAATTAGCTACAGTGCTTTAGAAATGCTTTTAGAGATTACACATATCTGAGTGTAAAAAAGTATAAAATACATGCTGTACCCTCCCAATACTCATTTTATAAGCATCCATACAGCTCTCACAGAAGAGAACTCATTGGCACATTACTGACTTCTCTGGAATGCATAACACACACCTCACAAGACCTAGTCTATCACCCCATGCACTACCTGTGGACTTATTTGATGCTCTCCGTCGAATTTCAGTCACCATCAATCGTGACACTTGTGTAGTAAACTGCAGGAGGTCCGAGAATTTTTCTGTCATTGTACTTGGAGGAGCATTTCCAAACACCTAAAGACAAGAGAAAACAGATTTTGTAATGTGGTAATATTTGTTGCAGTTTTTCACTTGCAACCAAATCTCTTTTACCATTAGGAATTTAGCACACAATTGAACAGAAGTTTTTGAATTCAACTCATTGTGTTAGATCAGGGTGTGACAAATCCATCTGTCCCAGTGAATAAGCAGACCTACTTTGTCAACTTTCGCAGAATCTAAACTTCCATTTTTTTTTAAAGTTAAGCTTTTATCCCTTTTGGTTGCAAAGTTAGCTTTCTAAATATGAGTGAAGCCAATGCAGTGTTGTCTTCCTGAGCCTGCTCCACTATCTTTAACACTGCTCAGAACTTTCACTCTGATACAGTTTTTTAACCTGCCAATGCTCTTTTCTGTTTCTCTTCTGCTATTCAGAACTCTAGGCAGCAATAAAATAGAAGTACTGAAACTCAAGTATCACATTAGCTTCATGATGCAGCACTTTGGGAAGAGACAGGCACTACGGTTATTCACGAGAAAGGAGGACCCAAGAAAAATGGAAGCTAGCAAAGAAGGGGTAGACCTCTTCTCTTTGCAGCAGCAAGGAGGTTTGAGTGAGGACAAAAGTAATACGCATCCTCCTCACTTGCAGCAGTTTGTAAGCTCTGCAAAAGGAACACTAGAAATGCCAAAGTTTTCCAGTTTTGATGCCCAGAGTTAGATACTTATGGCCTCATTACTCAAAGTTGCTAAGCACCTACACCTCCCACTGACACTAATGAAAACTACAGGTACACTACACATCCGAAAATCAAGCCATTAAATCTATATTTAGGCATCTAAATAACCATGCTCTGATTTTCCTCTTGAATATAAGGGGTGCACTTGGTGTTCAGTACTTTTGAAAATGAAGTTTTATTCAGATGGCCAAAACAAGGGTTATTTATCTGGCACTGGAGTTCTTTGAGATGGACTCTTCATATTTACACTCTTGGGACAGGCACTGACCGCTGTAGGAGAACAGTGGAATCTTCTGTAAGCAGTGTCTGCTAGGGCACTCACGCACCCCTCTTATGCCTCCCCTCAATGTTCAAGTATGTTCTGAAAGTGAGGCTATAAAAAGGAGAAGCAGCAGCAGCAACTGCCACCTCAGTTCCTTACACCGCTAATGCAGAGCATAGATTAACTAGGAGTCCACAGGCGAGGGAAAGAAAAGAGGGGAGTGTGAACACACAGAGTTTGCCTCAAAGAACTCCAGCTGCAGGTAAGTAACCTTCATTTCTTCTTCTTCATAGGCCCTCTGCATATACCCACTCTTGCAATAGTTAGGTCAGCAGTATAAGAAAAACAGATGGTGGGACACAGTGTCCTAATTAAATGATGACTGGAGAACTGCCCTGCCAAACTGGGCATCAGACCTAACAGCTGTGTCTTCCACATGGCCACTTTACAAATCCCAATTTGAGGAACATGTCTAAAACATGCTGTAGAAGTAGCAACTGCTCTAGTAGCATGTGTTCCATGAAACATTTCTATAACTCTCTTCTATACACTGTCTGATCCACCTAGATAAAATCTGAGCAGAAACAACACTAACTTTACAGTTACTCACATAAAAAGAAAAAACAGCTTATATGAAGTCCTATAAAGAATGACTCTGTTCAACTCTTCTTGAGCTTTCACAAGCTGGTCATCTACCTATGGGAAAACAAAAAACCCCTCATCTTCTCAAAAAAAGCTGCTATGACAGAAAGACATTTTGTAAAAACTCTGAGTGCAGTAGAAAGACCAAAGAGCAGGGGTCTGTACTGGAAATGTTCTTGACCCAAGGAAAATCTAAAAGTATTTTCTGTGAGTTAGGTTATATACAAATAAGCATCCTGGAAATCTACGTTGCCCAATTAATCTAGATAGGTGAGTGAGGGTCTAGATAGGCGATAATCATCACAAGGGTCCACATCCTGAACTGGAACTTTCAAATGTACTTGTTTAATTTTCACAGATCAAGGATTTGTCAGAAACCTCCATTCTTCTTTGTAACAAGGAAATAATGGTAATAGAAGACCTGAATACTAAGACTTTCTAGAACTTCCTCTATTGTTCTGTAAAGTAATGGATGAATGAATGAATGAATGAATGAATGAACGTCTGCTCTTAAAACCCTCTCATGAGAAGACTCTCTGAAAAGGGAAGACAGCAGGATTGTTATGGAAGAAGGGTCTGAAACTGGATGGTGTAACCCTCTTTTATTATATCCAACACCCATCTGTCCATAAATATCTTCTGCCATTTGCTGTGACAGTGGACAGACTGCTTCCAAAGGGTAGAGAAACTTCCTGTGTTAGTTTGCGGCTCTCACTCTCGATGTCAAACAAGAGGTCTAACAGTAAGTAAGGAACAAGTGGCAGAATTGTTCTTGGGTCTCATTTTAGATTTGGCTGATTGTTTTCTATATTGAGGTTGCTGTGAAGGATGCTGCTGCGATCACTGTTATTGATAGTGATATCTTCTTTGAGTGTAGTAAGATAATGATGAAAATGGCAGATAGTATGGCTTTGGTACCTAAACGCAGAAGTAGGAGTTTTCCTTCTAAAAGGCTGTCAAAGTCCCAAAGAACTTGCTGTTGATCTCATCTTTCATTTTCTCTAAAACTTCGTTTCAGAATGGAAAATTCTGAATCTCTCTCTCAAATGAAATCAGTCTCAAATCAGTTTCTGATTTCTCTTCAAAGGGAAGAGAAAAAGAATGTAACCACATGCATCTTCAAGGAGTTATAGAAGAGACTACTAATCTTAAAGCAGCATCCGAGACATCGAAGGATGCTCGTCTAAGAGCATGTTTAACTCCATTTTGTCCCTCTTTAATAAGGACATTAGCTAACTTCCAATGCTCTTCAGGAAAATTCTTTATAAAAAATGAAATTTTATCCCCAAGATGAAATTGGTACCTAGCCATGACCACTTGACAGTTAGCAATCCTCATACTCAAGGAAGTAAAAACAAAACAAAATCCCAGCTTCCTTCAAGGAATCAATTTTTTCCCCTTCTCTCTCTCATTAGGAGTGGAGTGTAAATACCCAGATCTTGCAGAGGCATCCGCAGTACAAACAACGAAGAAATTAGGAGGTGGGATACACATGAAAACACAGGAAACCCTTATAAGGAATTGATATAATTTGTCTGCCTTTTTTTGAAATGATGGGTTATTACATACTCATTTCACTGGCTGCCACAGACCTTCCAACATTGGTAAGGATACTTTGTTGGTAGAAACAGCACCAAGAATATCAAAAGACTAGATGAGGTGCTTCTTCTAATGCTACAGATGGTAGATTTAATTTTGTTACCATTCTGCTGACAAGCTCATGAAATTGAATAGTATCTTCTAAGACAGATGAAGCTGATACAAAGCCCACATTTTCCTCTGTAGGGGAGTCACCTTCTAATTCCTGTTCATGCTGCTAATGGTAAATATCTTCCCTTTTCCTCTTCATAGAGTGTATCATGGACAATGATAGGTGACCAATCCCTTGCTGTCGGATACGAAGGTTTAGGATCCGAGCATCTCAGATGTGCTTCTGCCTTGATACAGAACTGAAGGTGTAGATTTTAATGGGAGCTGGTAGTGAAACCTCAGAGTTGGCCAACACGGCACGGCACCCAGAGTGGCATCTGCCAATCACCCCAGTCCAGCACTGTATCATAGTCATGATGAGTAGGAAATTTCGGAAAGGACATATGTGAAAAGTGTTTCTCAGAAGGTACAGATAAGGGTTGTGGTTCAGGATATGTTATCTAATCTGGCTCTTCCTTCAGAATACAGATCTGATCCCAGATCTGACAAAGGGATTATTTCAAAAACAACTGAAGTAGCGATGTGCAGCAGAGACAAAGGAGATACTGTCTTCCTCAGCAACCCAGTAAGAGTTTTACACAGTGGGTATAAATTATCTGTAGATCCATGTGGTGAAGTGCCCCTTCTGTCTCTTGTCTGGGGGGGGGGAAACTGAAAAGATTTTTATGTCCAAATATCATTTCCCCAATTTTGATGAGGAACTGAAAGGATCTGAGGATTGATGCGGATCCAAGTGTACTTGTGCTCTAACAATAATAAAAAGAACTAGGAACAATGAGATATTGTGTTCTGACTGCTTCCTTGGAACCACTGCATGGGAACGTTCTAACAACACGTTACCTTGAAGTCCAAGAAGACTTCAGATCTGTACTGAATTCTTGATCTAAAGGATCCAATGAATCCCCTGAACAGGCAATCTTCCTGGCATCAATAAGTAGCCTTCTTTTTCCTCGGAACTGAGAGTCCCAGATCTGAAGAAACATCTGTCACATTTTGCCCTTTCCCCATAACTGCATCAGTCAAGGGCTGTACCTTTCTTGTAGCTCAGTCCAAAGGTTGAGCTACTGTATGCTTGGTCATTTTGGAACTGGAGCACAGTGCAGAAGCTAATGTTTTCAACACACTTGGCTTCCTAGATCTGGCAGTGCCCGATGCTGATTTGGACCTCTGATTTTTCTTCTCAGAAACTTTCAAAAGCTCCAATTCAAAAGATTCCTGAAGTAAGAGGGCTTCAAGTCCATTCTGCCTCTTTCTTCTGGAAAGTGGGGCAAAAGGTGCCGCAGATGGTACAATATGAAGGAGGCTGTCAGGGTTCCCCTCAACTCTGAACTTTAGCGTACAGATGTGGGGACCCATATGAAAGACACCTAAGCTTATATTCTACCAGCTTAGGTTAAAACTTCCCTAAAGCACAAATTCCTTTCCTTGTCCTTGGACGGTATTGCTGCCACCACCAAGTGATTTACACAAAAATTCAGGGATAGGTCACTTGGAATCCCTATCCCCCCCAAAATATACCCCCCAAGCCCCTTCACCCCCTTTCCTGGGGAGGCTTGAGAATAATATACCAACCAGTTGCCTTAGCAATATGAGCAGAGACCAGACCCTTTGGCCTGGTCTACACTAGGCTTTTATGTCGACTTTAGCGCTGTTATATCGAATTAACCCTGCACCCGTCCACA